CGATACAGAAGAGATATAGTGTAGGGGGTATGTGTTAATAAACTGCAGTTTGGGGAATACTGACTCTCAGGAAACAGGAATATTGATGAAGGCAAAACTTAATTCTGAATCTTCAGGGAAGAAGGGGTGTGGATTGGGTCATTGTAGGAACACTAGAGCAATATGATTGAAGGCCTGGGAATTTAGGGGTGCAGAGACACAGCCCCAAAGATAAATGTCCTTTCCTTTCATTTTCGCTCAGGGCCAGAGGGCCAAACCCCTGTTAACATGTATCTAAATCTTGTGATTTCTGATACTGGATGTGCCCAGGATGAATGTGAGACAGGGTGCCTGGTACGTGGAGATGCTCATCACAGTATTACTTCATTGAACCTTAACTTTTGGGGGGAGGTGGTGCATAGGGGGAGACCCTGGCCTGCTTCTGTTGTCCTCAGGTCAAGCCCACACTGCTTGGCCTCAGTCTCAAGGCTCTCTGACCTGGCCAAGTCCCCTCCAGCCTCACATCTGCAGCTACTCAGGAATTCACATCTACAGTAACTCCTCCCCAGGCACAGTATGTGAATAGCTGGTTTGTAAAAGTGTGATTTTAAATTAGTGTACCGTAAATTTAAAGGCCACAGCCATTTTTCATCCCTGACTTTTTGTTATGGAGCTTTTCAAACATGCAGGAAGGTCAAGAGAATAATTTATTGCATCTTTGTGCTCTCATCACCATTGTTGGTGTTCAGGTGTCCCATTGTGGGCCCACGGGACTCCTTTCAAGTTAGTTCCTAATTCTTTTCTTTTTTTAAAGGAGCTATCAATTTTTTTAAAAGATTTTTTAAAAGATTTTATTTATTTATTTATTTTTTTAGAGAGGGAAGGGAGGGGGAAAGAGAGAGAGAGAGAAACATCAATGTGCAGTTGCTGGGGGCTGTGGCCTGCAACCCAGGCATGTGTCCTGACTGGGAATCGAACCTGCGATGCTTTGGTTCGCAGCCTGTACTCAATCCACTGAACTACTCCAGCCAGGGCTTAGTTCCTAATTCTTTTGATATGGGTTTTCCAGTTTTAAATGGACTGTACCATCACTGTCTTGATGCTTTTCTGTTACTCTGAGAAATCAGAGGCTTGGTGAGCAGAAGGGCTGGGGCGTGCTGGCCCTTTCCACAAACGGGAACATGCAGCATCTACTTTATTGTCGCATCCACTGCTGCTTGGTGGCATTCTTGCCATAATGTGTTTGAGAGATTACTTTTGTAGGGAGCTTCCTGTGGTTAAAAGATGTGAGAAAAGTGTGAGGTTGAAAAAACACACAGAATTTCAGCAGAATAAGACGTTTACTAAGCACCTATTATGTGGGAGATGCTGACTCTGCCCTGGGGAGGAGAGGGCATGACAACCTAAGGGAGCCACGATTGTATGGAGTCACCCAAGGTGACAGCCCAAGAGACCACTGTGAAGTGGCACTAACAATGCCAGACTCTTCAGACTCATAGAAGCAGAGAAGAGTGCTTACCAGGGAGATGTTGGACCAAGGGAACAAAGTTGCAGTGATGTAGGATAGATAAGTTTAGAGAGCTGATGTATAGGCATGATGACTACAGTTAGTAATACTGTGTTGAGTTTGGATATATGCTAAGACAGTGGATTTCAGGTGCTCCTATCACACGTAAAAAGTTAACTGTGTGAAGAAATGTGCTAATTATCCTGAATGTAGTAATCATTTTACTATTATATGCTTATCAAATCAGATTTATGTATGTTAAATATATATAATTTTTATTAAAATAAAAAGGCATGTAGACTTCAATAATAATGGAGAAAATGCCCTGGCTGGTGTGGCTTGGTGGATTGAGTGTTGGCCTGCGATTCAAAGGGTCGCTGGTTCGATTCCCAGTCAGGGCACATGCCTGGGTTGCAGGCCAGGTTCCCAGTGGGGGGTGTGCAAGAGGCAATCACACATTGATGTGTGTCTCCCTCTCTTTCTCTCTCCCTTCCCCTCTCTCTAAAAATAAATAAATAAAATCTTAAAAAAAACCTGTAAAAATGATGGAGAAAATGTAATATTATTTAAAAATTTTAAATAATATACAATTGATAACTCCTGATATGTTAACAAAGACTTTAAAGGACTATGCAGAATAAAAAATGGCTATTTGCCATGTTAAGAGAAAAAAGGATGCCAGACTATTAGGACAGTCCAAGTTCCTGACTTCTCCAGTAGCCATCCTTGTGATGTTCAGCCATACAGTTCACTTTAGTGGCCCTTGGTTTCCTTGATTGAAAAGAGGGATAAAGAAAATGTGATATATATAGTATATACAAGGTTTGTCCAGAGGTATCCAGCCAATGTAATATGAAAAATAGACATTTCTTTTTTTTTAATTGGTATTTTTTTTAGATTTTATTTATTTATTTTCAGAGAGGGAAGGGAGGGAGAAAGAGAGAGAGAGAAACATCAATGTGTGGTTGCTGGGGGTCGTGGCCTGCAACCCAGGCATGTACCCTGACTGGGAATTGAACCTGCGACACTTTGGTTCGCAGCCCGCGCTCAATCCACTGAACTACTCCAGCCAGGGCGTGAAAAACAGACATTTCTTGAAGAAGATACAAGAAACATTGTACATAGGACAATGAAACCTCAGGCCCCTTCAAAGTAGGCACCCTGGGACCTCACACAGTTCTCCCAATTGCCATTAGCTGCCCTGTTGTATTTTCCTGAATCTCATCAATGGTCTGAAATCTCTTCCCTTTTAAAGGTGATTTTAGTTTTAGGGAAAGCCAGAAGTTGCAGGGTGCCACATCAGGGCTGTAGGGGGGGCTGAGTCACCTGGGTCATTTGATGTTTCACCAAAAAACTGCATGAGATGTGATGTATGAATGGGTGCATTGTTGTGATGTAGCTGTCAATCACCAGTAGCCCATAGCTGTGGCCTTCTGAATCATCTGAATAGTTTCTGTGAAGGAATGTTCAAGCTTAATGCAAACTTTGATGCATATTTATTGCTCTATCTGCTCAGTCATTTTGAATGTCACAGCCACACAGTACACAAGCTCTCTCAACAGTGTCTACTGCCCCCACTGACTAGTACAGTGAAGTCATCATTGTTCACACATGTGCATTCCAGTCTACTCTCCTTGGCTGCCAGGTTACATCGATGTCACACAAACTGATCTTATTATATTAACAATGGCTGGACTTTTCCCAGACAGACCTCATATATATTACACACACGTATAGACAATATATATAACATATGTGATATATAAAAAATAAAATATTATTTATCCACAAAAAAAGAAGGAAATTCTGCCATTTGTGGCAACATGGATGGACCTTGAAGGCATTATGCTAAATGAAATAGGTCAGACAAATACCATATGATCTCACTTGTATGTGGAATCTTAAAAAAACAACAATTCATAGATAGAGAATGGATTGGTGGTTGCCAGAGGCAGGAGGTGGAGGGTGGGCAAAATGGGTGAGGACAGTCAAAGGTGCAAACTTCCAGTTAGAAAACAGGTAAGTCCTAGGCATGTAATGTACAGCATAGTGACTATAGTTAATAAATACTATATAGGTTATTTGAAAGTTGCTAAGATTGTAGATCTTAAAAGTTCTCATTATAAGAAAAAAAATTGTTGCTGTGTGGTTTGATGGATGTTAACTAGACTTATTGTGGTGATTCACTATATATTTATTCATAAGTATATATGGCTGGCCAAAAAGTTCATATGATTTTTTCCATAAAATGAAGGACACATTGTTCATTTCCACCAATAACTTTATTGATTTGGGTATTTTGAGTATGTCGTCTATCTCCTGCTATTGGCTTCTAGTGGGTAGAGGCCAGGGGTGCTGCTAAACATTTTCCAGTGCATAAGACAGCCCCACAGCAAAGAATTATTTGGCTAAAATATCAATAGAACCAAGAAACGTCATAACATGTCAAACATTTTGACATGTTTGATCAGTCACAGCATCTTCACAAACACCGCACAAATCAAATCCTTTCTTTGCGTTTCAGTTGCATTTTTACCTTTCTTGAAATAATAAAGCATAATATGCCAAAAATGTTGCGTATTTTCTTCCATCTTCAGTATTAAAATGGCTACACAAAAATTTACCAATGTTGATGTTTCTATCAAATGTACACTGATATGACAGCTGTCACAATACAATCTAACAAAATTGTTTCAAATGAAGTTGAAGACAACTAAGCACTACAAGAGCCATTGTACAGAAAAAACTAAATGAACTTTTTGGCCAACCCAATATTGAATCATTATGTTGTGCACCTGAAACTGATATAATGTTATATATCAATTATATCTTAATAAAAATTCATTAATGGATAAATGTAGAATGTGCTACCTCCATAAAGTGGAATATCATTTGGTAATAAAAAGGAATGAAGTATTGATACATGCTGCAGGGCAGACAGACCACGAATACATCGTGCTAGGTGAAACAAGCCAGTCACGAAAGATGTCGTACTGTATTGTTCCATTTCTGTGCGATGCCCAGGAAAAAAGAAAGCAAGAAACGCAAGGCATTGGACTCTATAAGTGCCCAGGCCCTTTCACCTCTGAAAGGATATAACTTATTTTCACGGGATTGTACACTTTTGAAAGTGGCTTTTAGACCTCTAGGTCACTGACTCCAAACCCTCATTTTAAAGAAGAAGAAACTGAGGCTCCCGCAGGAGCATGGATGTAACCATGGTCACAGACATAGTGATGGAAATGTCAGATGTGTTGGGGTGATTCTAAGGTCCTGATGGTGTTTACATTATGTTATATTTGGTCACACAGTGGCTTCTCTCTCTTCAGCTGTGACAGAGCTTTGAGAAATCTGTGTAGTTGAAAAGCTGCATAATATTCTGAATTTGGGGAATAATCAGTCTCCTAACATGAAGCAAATAAATTAGAGTTCCACAATGAAGTTCCACAAAAGATGTTTAACCTTTCTTTCTTTCTTTCTTTCTTTCTTTTTTTTTTTTTGCTGATATTCTCAGAATGGCCAAGACTTACAACAAAGGACCTACTTGAACATCTCCTTTGAAGTAAAACCCCATTGCTAATAAACTTCTGAATGTTCTCCTGAGACTCTCATAAGTCCACATTCACAGAAAAGAAAGTACTACTGTATTTCAGACAAGGGAATCAAGTGAGGGATTACTTTTAAGTGATTTGCTGACATTTTTTATTATCGCGGGAGTTCCGAATTACTGTTTCAAATTTCCTTTTACAGGATCGCTAACGTCCGGGAGAAATAGAGTGGAAGATGCAAAACAACGAAATTATAAAACCTGCCAAATATTTCTCAGAATTGGAAAAGAGCATCCTGCTTGCTTTAGTGGAAAAGTACAAGTATGTGCTGGAATGTAAGAAAAGCGATGCGCGAACTATTGCGCTCAAGCAGCGGACCTGGCAGGCGCTCGCCCACGAGTACAACTCTCAGCCGAGCGTGTCGCTGCGCGATTTCAAACAGCTGAAGAAGTGCTGGGAGAACATCAAGGCTCGGACCAAAAAAATTATGGCCCACGAAAGGAGAGAGAAGGTGAAGCGCAGCGTCAGCCCCCTCCTGAGCTCGCACGTCCTGGGGAAGGAGAAGATCGCCGGCATGCTGCCCGAGCAGCTCTACTTCCTGCAGAGCCCCCCGGAGGAGGAGGCCGAATACCACCCCGACGCCGCAGCCCCAGGTATCGGCTCCTGAGCCTGGCTTGTGTGTTCTCACTGCTACCTGTTCCCCGTTTGAATTTTAAAACCCTTAATTCTAAGGGGCTTCATTAAAAAGAAACGTTCATGTCAAACTTGACTTTCCCCATTCAAAAATCTCCCGGTGGCATAGGACATGCAAGTCACAGAGTACATAAAAAATAAACGCACTTGTTAATATCCGTGTGCTCTCTCTCGGGGAGAGCTCTCTTAGCTCCATTATCACTGAAGAATAAGGAAAACTAAGGGGCTACGTTAATATAGTTGTCATTAACGAAGTACCTTAGTTGCTTATCTTGAGCTATCTCCAATATGTTAAAGTGGGTTTGTTTGAAGATTTATTCCATTCACTCAAGCTTTTTTTTTAATGTTTTTTTTTGAGGACCTATAATGTGCATTCAAAAGGCCACATTAAAAAAGTAAACTATTTCAGACTTTAGAAAAGTCGTGAGACTAACAGAGCAAACAGCTGTTTGGCATTCACCCAGATTAAAAACCAGCATTTCCCCCCATTCTAATACTGTGAAGTACAGTTTTGCTTTGTGGCACCTCAGGGAACTTAAGAAATTCTGGAAAAAATTATTTTAGTTTTAATATATTTTCACTGAAAAGGGAAAAATGTTATATAGGATTCTTATAGAAGGACAAGACTGTCATAATCAAGGAAGTAATGCTAGTATGTCATAGATTGAAAAGGTTGGATTTAAGGGGCTCTTGAAATGTCTCCAGGCCCAAGGTGGGTGGGAAAATGCATATAGATAAATTGCCAATAATTCCTGCCTCTTTTATGATAAGAATGGCCAGTTTATATAAAGATTCAGTGTAGTTTGCAAGAGACACATTTAATAATTTCTGGGAAGGCCAGAAGTCTATTTGGAAGGTTCTCTGAGGACCCAGCAAGCATTTGCCTAGGAAAATCTGATTTTTGGTTTGCAGGATGAGAAATGCACTTATGAGTGTCCCTAGAGGAGACTGAGCTCTGGGGGACTGGCTAATTAAAAGTCACAGATGTTACCTGTGTAGAGTGAGAAAGCTAAGTAGCCTAGTGAACTGAATAACATTTTGGTTAGCACTTTTTTTTTTCTGTAGGTAGATTATCCCAGGAATCTAAATTACAATAAAAAGTTTACTTGCTGATCATTTGACCAAGGCTAAGTCCAGGGAGCCCACTGGGCAGTCATAGCGGTTAAGGTCATGACCATCATGCATCGTTTTCCAGGGTAGGAGCCCTGTGTCTGAATTTTGATTCTTGAGTTCCAAGTCACAATATCTGCCAGCAAACAGTGTTGATATGGACACTGCCAACTCTCTGTTTTGCCCTTTCTCATTGCTGCATCTATGGGGATGAGGCCCAGGGCTAATAGACGGTTTCCTTGTTTTGGAGATATCTGTAGCTTCCGCCAGTTACTCTCTATCATGCTGGCTCTGGAGCCGTTCAGTCCTGTGAGGGAGTGAGTGAGTGAGTGAAGGGACTGGTCCTAGGGCGGGGTGTGAGGGCTGAATCGGCAGGGCCTCCTTTCAGGTTGCTATGTTCCCTGAGACACATTGCTGAGGAGGATGCTGGTGTGGACTGCTGTCACTTAGTTCACTTTGCAAATCTTTCACCTGTATGGTTGTGTATTGATTTCCTAGGGTTACTCTTTTTTAAAAAAAGTATTTATTTATTTATTTTTTAGAGAGAGGGGAGGGGAGGGAGAAAGAGAAGGAGAGAAACATCAATGTGCAAGAGATACGTTGATCGGTTGCCTCTTGCACGGCCTGATCATAGGGTTATTCTAAGGGCAGTCTTCTTTCCCCATTCTCAAATTCTAGAGTAGGATCTAGAAAGTTCATCCCATAAGTGTTTTTCTCTTTCTTTTCAGAGGAAATGATATAATTAATTCATGTATTCATAAGCAATTTATAAATTTCCAGCAAGAAGGGAATGAATATGGATTCACAGTGTCTTTCCTGTAGTGACATTTGCTAGACACTAACTTGTAAAAGGAACTGATATGAAATTGGATGCTTGTACACATGACACATGAAACTTCTCTTTTTGCTGGTGATTATTGAAGTACAGCCGAATACTTACCTGTTCCCGTCTCCAGGTCAACTCCAGAGGGCGGTGGAGAGCCAGGGTGCTTTGTCAGCTGGGGAGTGTGTCCAAAGTAATCTATTAACACCAATAGATAATGTACTAGAATTCCTTCTATACATTAAGACAGCTTTGGGGTTACCCCACTCAGTTTGTATTTAACTTACTTTTAGGAAATGAAAATAAAGCTGGAATTGTCCATCATTCCTTCTGGGTCCTGGTGAGGAAGAGGTTGAAAACCTGCAATAGGCTGGTGGCTCTCATTACATCAGGTGTATTTTGATACATGGGATCTGTGTGTGTGTGTGTGTGTGTGTGTTTTACTTTTGTTAGCATTTCTTAACACTGTTGACAGTGGCCACACGCCATATCAGGCTAGTAAGCCCTTGAAGTGGGGGTAGGCCAACTAAATACACACAATGAATCTTGAAGACTTAGTACCAAAAGAAATGTAAAGTCTCTTACTAATAATTTTTATATTGATTACATGTAGCAGTGATAATGTTTTAAACATACGGGGTTTAAAAATATTTCACGACAATCAGTGTCAGCTCTTTCACCTGTCTAACGCGGCACGTGAAAATTAAAATGGCACATGTAGCTCGTGTCCCCCTTCTGTGGGACAGCACCGTGCTAACCCCTCGCAGGGCACGTGCTGCAGCGGTAGGTGCTCAGAGAACTGCGGGGACTCCTTAACCAGTGTTCCACTAGAGGCCTCCCTCCAACAAGTTTTCTGTGTGAGATGATTCCAACTTTGTCATATTGATCCCTGTGCCCTGGGTATTATTAGCTTTGTCAATGCCTTCCTTGAAATGTACATCTGCATTTGAACACAGTAGTTTTAAAATGAAAGTTTAACCCTTAGGAATGTATTTTCCAAAAAATCCCAGTATTTATCCCTTAAGTATATTAAAACCCTCTATGTTCTGCAGATTTGTGATATGCGACGATTTGGCTGTGACACTTAGCTTCCATTTTAAGACAAGTGAGGTTATCCTTGGGGAACAGTTTCACAGAACAAATTAAGGGGAACCACAAAATTTGCTGGAAAGGGTCAGGATGGTAGGATGACTTAAATGTCAAATATATTTAAGCAAACTAAGCTTTTAGGTAGTATTGAAACATCATGGGAGAACTTATATTTAATTTCCTATGCTGTTGTTTACTATAAAGCTATATTTGAATCATGTAGACATGGGTACTCAAAGCTATAGTTAAGTAACACAAACTCTCCTTTATACATTCCACTACTGCCACTATTTAATCCCACCCTACTCTTTTGGGGGGAGAACTCAAGTACAGGGGACCAGCTCTGCTGCCAGCATTGGCACACCGGCATCACCGGCCTTTGAAAAGCCCCCTTTTTGTGTTGCTTATGTATGTATTCCCTCTACCCCCACTCAACACTTCCAGTTTCTTCTCTGTCCCATAGTCATTCCGATATGGTTGTGTTTTCTCTCCCGTGTTTTCGAAAGCATGCATTGCTCTTTTGTGTGCATGTATTTTTAATTTACATAGATTAAAAATCATGCTATAGCTACCATTTTCTTGCCTTTTTTCACTTAGAGTGATGTTTTTAGGATCTGTTCCCATTGCAGCATGCAAGTCTGATTTGTTTCACCTAGTGGGTGCACAGTATTCCACGGAGGGCACCCACCACCTCTCGTTCATTCCTTCTCCCAGTCAGTCCCATTTCTTCTGTTCAGAAGAGTGGGGGTTTGGGTGGAACACAGTTTCCTTCCCCTCCTGTTACTGCCACAGTAGGTTTTTCCTGCTGATGTTAAATGTGCTCGAATTGCCCAAATGAAAGAACACTCCCCTGACTGTGTTCTCCCGTCGGAGGAAAGCCCTTAGGCCCTCACATCCATTTTGCACAAGATTGCATAGTTTTCTCCTGCCGGTGGCTTAGTTCTTCCCGGGAGAGAGATCATGTGGTGTGTGTTTGCAGCAGGCTGCCATTCCCAGGCCAGTCCTTCTCCAGTTCAGAGAAGATTCTCCCCATCCGAACACTAGCTTCCATCCATTGGAGCTAATATTTGTGTGAAAGTTAATTAACTACTCCGTCCGGCTTCTCTAGGTGTAAGCCCCAGCTTCTGCCAGAGCTTTTCAAGAGGCCTGGCTTTTTCCCTTCTTTAAGATATGCATGTTAGCACACATTTCAACTACAAAGAAGAGTTGTAAAGTACAGTCATTCCTGTGCTCCTGGACATGAACATACTGTCTTTATGTTCATAGCTCTAGAGAGAAACTTGGAGACCAAAATTTGGAATATGCATCTCTATTCTTAATAATAGATTGTCTTATAGTTGATACAACCTGGAGGCCACATTTTAGGATACAGAGGTGATCAGCTGAGCAGGTGAAGCAGCGAGAGGCTAGGTGTTGTAATAGTTGAGCTTGGATTTTGAAATGATGAAGACTTGGATTAGAGTCCTGGTTCTTTCAACTAGCCAAATGACTTTGGATGCTGTGCCTGGTCTTCTATAATAATACACCCTTCTGCGGTTCATTGTATGTTTACATGAGGTAGTGCCTGTAAAATAGTAGCTGCTGTCATCATCATCATCATCATCATCATCATCAGGTCCCTAACGCCTAGAACTGTTGAGATAAAAATGAGCATTTAGATAATTGGGAGAGAGGAGCAATTGTCAGGGCACGAACTCAGGCATCTCCTTTGGAATGGAATCAAAGCGAAAAGAGGCTAAAGGTACCAAAAAATACCTAATGTGTCCAGCCTTCAGAGACGGCACTTTCAGAAGGCACTTTCAGATCTCAGAGTAGAAAGGAAACAGATGAGGTAATGGCTTTACAATTGATGCTTACATCTGAGGGACCCTATTCTTAGTGTTAAGTGCTTTCCGTTCCTTGGTCCCAAGCCTGGGCTAGCCGCTCAGAACACACTGCTCTTTCTCCCTGGCTGTGCTGTGTTGGGAGGGGTGTGGCCCACTGCAGCCAGTTCAGCACCTGTGTGGTTCCTACAGCCCAGCAGGGTACCAGGCCCTCTGCTGGCTTCCTTATGGGGAGGAATGCGGGCTAGTCTCTGCCTTCAAAGTATTCAGGGGCCTGAAGGGGAGGTAGTTAAACCTCTGGCTTTAACAAGTGCTCTGCCAGACATAGGCTCGAGAGGTGGCAGCAGCATGAAGGAAGGACATCTAGTAGAGGCCAGAGCCCTTGGAGTTGGGAAGGATTCCTAGGGAGACGTTTCATTGTCTCTGGATGGCACAGAAGTACTCTTTTTTTGCCTTCTCTTTGAAAAGTAAGATTTTTACCCTTTCTTTAACCTCAGTTAGGGGCTAATTATGCTTGTTATCCTATCCCTTGGAGTGAAATCACCTAAACAATAGCCACTTTCCTTTTGTTAACAGAGGATGAGGAGTTAGGTTTCCCCCACTAGCCATTAACATTCCCAGCATCCCATCCTCTGGAATAACGGAGTGGACACAATGTTGTAGCCAGCTCTTGTGAATAAACTGATGGCATTTTTCTCCAAGGAGACAATTCTCATTATTGAAGGTGTAAAGCTTCCCAAAAAAGCCTTGGAGTCACAGCTAGAAGACTCCATGGGTTAGAGGAGTTAGTGGTTTCCTTACTGAAACTCCCTAATTGATGTTAATCTCACTGTCCTGTAAAAATAATGGTGTAAATGGGCACCACCTCAAATGGCATCGTTTTGTATCCATATGCTCTTTTCCGTTTTTCTTCAAGGCTTCAGCCAGTAAATATTTACGAGGCATCCACTGTGTACCAGGCAAAGTCATTGGTCGCAAGGATAAAAGAAATGAATAAGGCATGGTCCCCAAATAATACTAGTACAGGGTGCAGAAGTAGGTTTACAGGTAGGAGTACACAAAACATAGAGTTTATTCTTATATTATTTTTTTATTAATTATTATATTATTTTCCACATGAACAACTGTAAACCTACATTCCCCCCACCCTGTACGCATCAAGTGCAGTAATAGGAGAGTCAGTGCAGAGAAGGGAGAGCTGAGGTTCCACAGAGCAAGTGGATTTGACCCCGAGTGAAGCAGGTGTTAGGGGAGGCAGTGAAAGGGAGACTGGACTAGGACTGTGTTTGGGTGAGCTGCGGGGACAGGCAGTATTTAAGCCCAACTTCAGGCTGATGGAGCAGTGAGTCAGAATTATGGAAAAGAGCATGGCCTTTAAGAATGTGACTAGTTTGTGATAGGATTGAAGGGTGCGCAGGGAATTTTGAAGAGTAGGGCAAGAAAGGTAAAGGAAGGCGAGAACCAGATTATGAGGGTTACTTAGGGTGATTGAAAACAGTTAAAAAGAAGCACCTCAGGGGAGTATGAAAAGGTAAGAGGTTGGTGGAACAGGAGTCTGAGTCCCGAAAGGAAATTGAGAAGATGCAGTCAGAGAGGCAGCTGCAGAAAATTTAGGGGAGGGCAATGGTTCAGAAACTAATAGAGGGACAGAAAATTCAAAAAGTATCAGTTGGTGCTAGGGACAGGTAACATAACAGGGACATTCACAAGTGTCTTTGGATCTGAATACTTAACAGCCGGAGGTGGGAGGCTGAAGAGAAATAGCATGCTGGGTAAGTTAAGCCAGGAAGGGTAGACTCACTTCTCAAGGAGCAACATTTATGAGATAATTATCCAGGGTGAGGGAAATGACCAGGAAATAGAGCAACAGCCCCCTGGGGGTGTGGAACATGTGCTCACGGCTGCGCTGGGTGAGAGTGGGCAAGGGAGATCCAACTGAGGGAGAACCGAATCTGAAAACCCCCCCGTTGGCCTCGCACTGTGGTCTTCCGCCCTTTCGGAGCTGCGCACACTTCAGTTCAGAACTTACATCAACGTAGCACGGTCATCGATTCTTGATACACATAGTTGCTGACCATTGTTCCTGTAGTCTGCAGTTTTAGAAATGCCACGATGAAACACTTTATCATTACGTCTCAAGGGAAACTTGCTTTGGATTTATGGGGTTTTAAAAAGTCAGGTGTGGCCAGGGCCCCTGTCGACATGCAGGCCAAAGCAGATGCTATTTCAGATCCGTCCTGGAGTGGGGGACCCTGTCGTTGAAGTAGGATGATTTACTCTCTGCCTGTAAAATCTTTGAACATATGTTTTCTGCTACTGTTTTTCAGAATCATTTGCTGTTTCAAATAGAGAACTGTGCGATGATGAGAAAGAGTTCATACATTTTCCAGTGTGTGAGGGGACCTCTCAACCTGAACCCTCGTGTTCAGCTGTCAGAATAACAGCCAATAAAAACTACAGGAGCAAAACCTCTCAGGAAGGTGCTTTAAAAAAGATGCATGAGGAAGAACACCATCAACAAATGTCCATCTTACAACTGCAGCTGATACAAATGAATGAGGTGCATGTGGCCAAAATCCAGCAGATAGAGCGAGAGTGTGAGATGGCAGAGGAGGAACACAGGATAAAAATGGAAGTTCTCAATAAAAAGAAGATGTATTGGGAAAGAAAACTACAAACTTTTACCAAGGAGTGGCCTGTTTCCTCATTTAACCGGCCCTTTCCCAATTCACCCTAAGACTGTGGGGGTGGCTCCCTTGTGCTTAATCTGTGTTGGCAAAGAATGTCTGGAACACGGACTTGCGGTCAGTAACCTGTCACAGAGCTCCAAGTAGGACACTTAGCGTGGTAGTAGTCACTTATTTAAGAAAACATTCAGGTAAACAGTTGCACCTTCTTACATGGCAAAGAAGCTGTTACAGTCTTCTGAAAACTATCACTATGAGTGCTATAATTCTGAATGTCATGTCTCCTAATGAGAATTCACACAGAACCATGTGTGAGTGTCGTTGTTGTATTTTTTTTTTTTTAATCCAATGCAAGTGTGACTATAAAGGAGTGTGGCTGATTTTTTTTTTTTTTTTTTAACAGACAGCGGAACTTTTTTACCCAAGTGACGCCCTCCCACTGGGCGTGGCCGCCCTGGGAGGCCCCGCCCACCACATTTCTCCAGTGGTGACGCTGTCGCGCAGCAGAGGTCTTTAGGAACCTCTGTGAGAGCTGCGGCGCCTTGTTCATTTTTTCGGTGGCATCCTCTGAGTGCGGACTTTCTGATTTGAAACAGCCCGACATTTGGAAGGATATTTTCTGATGTGGCTCCTAAACTTCCTTTTAAGGTTCTTCTCCAAAGAGGAGTTCAAATAATGTCGCCCACAAAGGTAGCTCTGTTGGAACTGAGAGGGTAGCTACTTTGAGGGAGAAATGTTCAGTTAGATTTCTACATTCTGTCATGTTTGTTTTATTAAAAGAGAAGACTTGCAATTTTATAGTCACACTGTGTATGTTTTTTAAAGGTGCTGCCTCCCCACTGTGCTCCCCTTTGGGCCTTCCCTCTGTAGTTCCCTCCCTACTTGGTACCACTGAGTTCATGGCTACCCTTGTTTTTAACCTTAGGCCACCTAGGGGTCCTCCCCTCACCGTGCTTCTGGTGCTAGCGAATAGTAATGCTATGTAGTCTACATTATGCGGTTAGCATCGGGCTTTTTAAAGAATCCATTACCAATACATTTGGAAATATGGATTGATAAATGGATGTTTTGGTTGAGCTGTGATATAGCTTCTCCTGTAGCCTAGTGTTAAAAACAGCCCTGGAAGCTGGGCATGGCAGTATCTGGCAGAAGTGAAGGGACACTTAAGTACCAAGGCCGGTCAGCAATTTCTGAGAATGAAATTGCAAGGCCGTGTGCTGGGGAAGGAGGAACAGGTACGACAGAGGCTGTATAGGGAGTGTAGGACTAGGAGTCAGGGCTTGAATTCTGAGTTTGGTTCTGCCTCAAGTGCTCTCTGACCTTAGGTACCTTTTAATCCTCGGCTGTGTTCTCTTCTCTCCACAAAACAAGAGAGTTGGTCGAGATAATGTTCAGAATTTGCTACAACTCCTTGACTGTAGTGTGGTCTGCATAATCTTGAAGGAGTGCCGCTTACATCATCGTCATCCAAGGGCGTGGGTCCGTAGTTCGCAGCATTGGCTAAGCTTCCCTCCTTCGTCATTTTGAAATCTGGGTCTTGGGGACTGTACATTCAGTAAGATACACATACACTCATTATTGAAGCACTGCATAAAGCAAATGGGCTGCAATTTACTGTGTACATTATCATAGTTTAAATCTCTTAGAGGAACTGGTTATTTATAGAACACTGTGAAGACTAGGCTTCTTTGAAAGTAAAGATCCTTCTCTAAGGATCTGTGTTCTTACCTTAAGTTTTCACCAAATGGACCTTTTAGTGAAGAAGCATCTGAATAAACTTCCAAACTTCAATGGCTTACAGGAGACAAACTTGACTTTTCATGTTATCCCACCCCCTTGGGGACATGGGTGTGAACTGAGAAAAATTTGCCTTTGCTTCACCTATTGCTCCATCTGGGGATCCTGTTAGGATGCAGATTCTGGAGACGGACCTGAGATTTTACATTTCTCACAAGCTCCCAGGTTATGCCAGTTCTGCTTGTCTGGTCAGCACACTTCTGGGTAGCAAGGTTTTAGAGGACCCTCATATGTTTTCTCAAAAACAAAATTAAAGTTAGGTACATTTTTGTGTACAGCATTGTGCTGGGTGTTTTCGCTCAGAATTCATCACTTAAGCATACAAACAACAATGCAGAACACAAAAAGTGCCCACCCACGCAATGGAACTATAAAAGCATCAAACTAATTCTTAACCAAACAAATCAAGGATGATTAAGCCAGTGGCCTAAAACACCTTGTTCTACTGTTAGTGGCATTTATGAGTTTCTAACAGTAATTTCCCACCTTGGCTATGCAGAAGAAACAGTATTTAATAAGTAAGTAACCCCACTGGGTCCTGCTCCCAGGGGGTTCTTACTCATTTGACCCGGGCCTGGTCTACCCTAGTTTTTGGCAGCTTTTCAGGGGATTATGATACCTAATTGGGATTGATGGCCACTGGTATAGATTTCCCAAATATTTCTCATTTGATCCTTAATCGTGGGAGGTCATGCAGACGTGAGGAAATGATGCTCAGAGAAGAACCACCTGACTAGGGAATAGCAACGTAGAACCTCAGTCTCAGGTCTCTTGACACAAAAAGAAATAGTTTCACCTGACTGCCCCGGCCCCATCCCTCAGAGCACATCATGGATTTGTTACATCCTGAGAGCCAGATCAGTGTCTCCATTCAAGAATAGGTCTATCTCAATGCATTTCACTTTTAAGCAGTTACTTAACTGAGAAGGAAATGCAATACTTATTTCTTGGTAGGCGCTCTAGAAAGTTGACATAAGTATTGATCCAGTTCACCACCCTCTGCCCTGCCAAATCATGGACACAGCCCGGTAGGGGAGGGAAGACTTGGACACAGCTGTCATGTATGTGATTAGTGCATGCCTTCAAGTGCATTGGTAGCTCAGAGCAGAGAGCTAAGCAACTTGAAGGAAGGCTTCCCAGAGGAGGTGACATTTAAGCTAAGTCTTGAGAGCTGGCATTTTGGGCAGGTGGAGATTTGTAAAGGAGAGAAAACTTCACTAGATGCAAAGTCCCATTGGAGATTCAAGATGATGAGATCATTGGGAGGCAGTGAGAACATGGGGACTTACCATATTGGGCAGTAACCTGATCAAAACTGTGCTCCAGGAGGAAGATTCGAAGACAGAACTGAGTTTAGAGAAAACTGGGGTCCGGGAGGTGAGGTAGGAGTGTTTGGCCCTGGTTAGGATGAGACGACAGGAGGACGGAGAAGAGGCTGTAGTAAAAACCAGAGAGACCAATGTGAAGGGCATTGCAGAAATGGAATCAGTCAGCTTTGGCAGCTGATTGTTTTTGTCCGAGAGAAGTGGTCAAGTTTAAAGTTAGACACCTGAAAGAATGATGCTGCCTCTTGACATAAAGGAAGAAAGGATGCATTTCTGGCTCTGACCGGTTTTAAGGGAGATCTACACACAGAATAGTGCAGTTGCCTCCCACTAAGCCTCAAACACACTGGCACCTGCTCTCATCTCCTCTTCGGCTGTCACCTCTTTGCTCTGACTTCCGCCTCTTCAGCTGCCTGTGCTGCCTCTTTCACCTGTTCATCTGACTTCAACCCCTCCCTGCCGGGTCCTTGTCACCCCACTCATTTGGTATTGGCTCTGCCATCATCACCTCCATTGCAGCTGGTGGTGTGTCAGTCACCATCACTTATAATGACTTTTTACTAGAAAGAGCCGAAAAGGTTATTTCTTCACCTTGCCCTTCAGCTCTTTTCTAGACAGTTGGCATCCACAATTTCATTTTTTAAAATATCCCATGTTGTCTAAAGGAGGATGGGCTAAGAGGCGTTGTTAAGCCCCATGGATGCCCATAATGGCCCCTTGACAAAAATCAGACATGGGATCCTTATCCTGTGAAGCATCAAACATTTAGGAAATGTTTTGGGAATTTTTCAGGCATGTAGAATCTTAAAATGCATATTTTTTTTTCAAAGAAGAAAGAGGACAGGAAGAGAGGCAGCCTGGCGGATGTGTGCATTTGAGTTGTCAACAGCCTCCGCAGTGGCAGATCAATCACATCAACACTCGGTCTGGACCAGGAGAAAGGAGTGGCTCTGCCTCCTGGGAATGTCAGAAGGACCTGATAATTATATTTGGCAAAGCCATGAAGAGTGGCTCAGTAATGTCATTGCTAAGAATTACCCTTTAATAGCATTTCTGGATGTCTGAGCTTTTCAAATGGAATGCCACTCCATTTCCGCTGTGATGGTCCTTTCTGTTGGGCTGCTTCCCAGGTGGTCCTCCCGTCCTTTCTTGCCCTCGCTTTGATATCAGTTTGGTTTTCCTCCTATCTTCCTCCTTCCCAGGCCTGTTTCTCTGCCCCCTCTGTCTGTACCTACTACGATCCCTCTCTTCTCTGTTTTAGAGATGTAGTCGTGTGAGAATGTGTGTGAGCGAAATACTTGCCAAGGGACAGCAGATTCAACATCCGGTGTCCGCAAGGAGAGGTGTAGCCTTAGACTGGCAGAACCACCGATGACTTGCTTCCATGCTGCCTCCGAGGCTGCTGTGTTGGTGGGATTCAGCAGTCATGGGAAAGGTCGCCAGTGATCTGTGACTACGACACATTCTTTTCCTAATTGTGCCATCGATTATGCCCTTCAACAAAATTTACTAATCTCTGCCTCAGTTTCTCCATCTGTGAAAGTGGTGTAATACTTATCTACCTCCCTTGAATGTTGTGAAGATTAGTCTGTTAGCAAAGCACTTTTGAAATAAAGAGTGATGGAAAGCATTTTAACATTATTGTTGTCATTGTCGTATGGATGCCCTCCTGTGGAGATACTGCCCTGCAGGGAAGAGCCCCGCAGGGAAGATAGAAAAAATCCCATGGAAATACAAGGGTGTGAATATTTGTGAAAAATTTCAACATGGCCTTTCCTTAAACAGCCCTTTGGTGCATTTAACACGAGATTCAATGTACAGAAGAGTGACTTACATAAGATATTTAAAGAATACATCTATTGAACTTGTATTACCCACTGTAATTATTGCACTTACAAGCTAGGTATTAACTGAACAGCGCAGTTTATCATTAGTAGATGGGAAACTCCCATTTCTACATTATTCAGATCCCCAGATTGTGTGTGAAGATTCTCTCACTGTTGCCACTGATTGGAATAGGTTTCTCAGGAAAAAAAAAATTCAAGTTTCATTGTTATATCTGCTTATATCTCCTTGGCTGAGGCGAGTCTTACGGTTAAGCCCAAAGTCAAGGGGAGAGAAGTAGACTCCTCCTAAGAAGGTGAGGGGAGAAGGTGAATATTTTTGCATAGTGAATGAGTCTACCACAGTATCACAAGTGGGAAGAGAACTAGTGGGATCCAAAGAACTGAGACTATATTATAAATCAAGAGACAGGGAATCTGGGAGGAGGGCGTTCCTTATCTTCTGAGACACACACAGTCTTCCTTACTTTTTTTCCTTTCACTCTCTTTTTTTTGGGGGGGGGTGCTTTAAAATAGTGATAATAATAGAACATACCATATTTGGCCATGTGTAATGCACACCTATGTTTTTGGTCCAAACTTTCAGGAAAAAAAAACTTTCATTTTAATTTTTTAATTCAATTTTTTATTTATTTATATTTAGAAACAAAACCAGTGATCATATTCCAGGGTATTATTTTGCATACAGATATCGTTATTGCTTTCTAGAGTTACACTTTTAACACATAAGGATAAATAAAAGAATTAAAAACACTTTCATAGATACAGAATTAGTACTGCCCATATATAATATGCATTCTTATCTTTCCCTCAAAAATTTGGGCAAAAAAGTACATTATACCTGGCAAAATATGGTATGCCATAGAGATGTTGGATTAAATGAGTAATATGTATTTATTTCTATGCACTTATAACATACCCTATGTATAAACACTAAGTTTTGGCCATTATTTTTTTCTTCTCAAGGTCATACAGCTTCTAAATGGGGCCAGAAAGGTTTGAATCCAGTTTGCCTGGCTCCAGATTTAAAATTCAGGCTTTTAAGAATCAGACTATACAGCCTTTCCATTCAGAGCCTGAGTTCAAATCTGTGCTTTGCAAAGAACATGATCTCTGAATATTAGACCATCATCTATAAAATACCTACTCCCCGAGGTTGCTATGAAGACTACAAGAGAATACAAATATGGAAGAGCCATATAAACTACAAAATCAAGTCCCTCCCACCCCATAAAATTCCTAAACCTCTCTTATGATATTCTGTGTTATGAGAGAGAACCCAGTACTCTCTTCTCCCATCACAAACCTTCCTCTTCATCTCTCCTTCCAGCCTCCCCACCCTGTGAGACACCCAGATACATCCATCAGTTTCTTGGTTTCAGAGCCAGGCTCTATGAAATTCTGTTGATCCCCCTACCTGGAGGGCTCTCAGTCTCCCTATAACCATTTTGTCATCACCTATGCTGCTGAAGTGTCACCCATTCTTCAAGGTCAGGTGACACGAGACATACGCCTGGACCCTGGGCTCTGGTCCCAGCTTTGCCAGTAACTCACCATGTGATTGAGGACAACTTACTAGGTCTCTGGATATAAACTGAACTTCCTTGTTTGTAAAATAAGAGTGCTAGAGGAGAAGATCTTAAAATTCCCTTCCCCTGTTCTAATAGTCTAACTCTGAAGCTAAACTAATCTTTTCTGTTTACCTCATGTAACCCGTTTTCAATTTCACATTCTCCTTAAAAGATAATCTGTACACAAATGGGATTCAAATGCTTCATCCAACTGCATGAGCCCCAAGGTTGAAAGCACCATTTGTGAAAGCTATCAATATGAACATAATGATTGTACTTCAACTGTTTATAAAATAATCTAAATATAGTCAATACAAGAATTTCTAAATGATGGACACAAAAGGGTGGTTGCTTTCCAAAATATAATTTCCCCAACAAAATGTAATTGGCTGCTGTTGACTTGAGCTGTTTCAAATTGCCTGATTCTGTAGAATATAGAATACTTCTACTTATAAATTGCCCTGTTCTAAGGCAATAATGTGCCCAGAATATGTAGATTTTTGTACATGCTTTTAAGATTCTTATCAGTTGATTTCCGTAGATGTTATTTGTTATACACATTCAGGGCTGTCTGAAAACCTACTTGAAATATAAGAAAGGAAGGAAATTAGCATTTATTGAACATTGTCTATGGGTCCTAGGCACATTTGTATATTATATTTGTATATTTCCTACTCTGCAGGAGTAGGTAATGTTATTTATATATTAAAGATAATGAAATGAAGCTTGGAGAGGCTAAGTGACTTATTCAACATCATACTCCAAAAGTTCTGGATGTATTCAGTGTCACTGAACTGTACACTTAAAAATGAGTAAAACAGTAACTTTTTTGTTACTTCACTACAATAAAAAAGAAAAAGAAATCACATGCCTAGCTTAACTAGATTTAGATCCCAAGTCAGTATGCTTTGATTAGCCTGTTAATGGCATAGATTATATTTTAATTGCCTGGTTATATTTATCAAGATCTGTTAGGACTATGGAGCCAGAAACAAAGAGAAGCACAGAGAAGGGTTAAGTGAGGTTAAAGGTGTCAGTCATGGCAAGGGTGCTACCCCAATTCTGCCTGAGAGCAGGCAGAGAATCAGTGACCAAGGCAAAAAAAGAGGCATCACCAATAAGTCTTGCCCTTTAGATTCATGTTTCTCAAATATTAATGTGCAAAGGAATCATCTGGGTATCTTGTTACAAACCAGACTCTGATTCAGTAGGTCTGGGGTGGGGCCAGAGTGTGCATTTTCAAGCTCCCAGGCGCTCACTCATGATGTTGCTGGCCCATCATGGGCATTGAGTAGCAAGGCTTTTAAATCACAGTAACCTTCATGGCAGCTAAGTGTGGTTTTCAGATCCCTTGCCCCAGATAATCTGGGGTGCTTTTACAAACTAAATTCTGGGCCCCAGCCCAGACCTACTGGATCAGAATCTCTGAGGGCAGGACTGGAAGCTATACTTTTACCGAAACTTCCCAGTTGCTCGTTAGGTATAATAAAGTTTGAGAGCTGCTGCTAATAGAACATCACCATGGACTGATAACAAAAATTGCTCCACTTGCATCCCCGTTTCCAGTCTATGAAGCCTTTCATATCCTGTTTCTCCTGAACCTGCACAGCAGGCTAATGAAGGGGATACCATTAGCCCCACTCAGCAGACCAGGAAACTTACATTCCGGTGGCTAAGTGCTGGATGCAAAGATTTTCTGACTTCCAGGAAAGTTTTTTATTATTGCATGGCTTTTTCTCCCACTTTATCATATTTTCACTTTTAGTTCCACACAAATTAGAAGTTCTCTTATGTTAAAGAGCGTTGCAGAACAACTGTCTTCCTATGCTTTTAAAGATTTCAATCTAATTTAGCACATTAGGGAGCACAGTTTATGCTTATAATCATAAAGTGATCCAAGGTCATGGCCAAAGGAAAATGTTTGAAGTAATGAAGAAATAGACTGCATCAAGTTTTTTTAAATTTTTTCTTTTACCTGGATGTACCAATTGTTAATGGCTTTTTTCTCTCTCTCTCTTTCAACCACTTGAAAGAAAGTTCCAGACATGACACTTCACCTCTAAATTCTTCAGTATGCATGTACTAAAGAACATTCTCCTGCATTACTGCACCCCCAAAATTAATATTAACAATAATATCATCTATATGTAGTTTTCATTCAAATTTCTTCAGTTGCCTTAATACCTTTATTTCTGTTTATTTACTTAGATCCAATCCAGGTTTGTTGCATTTGGTTGTTTTATTTCTTTAGTCTAATTTAATCTTGAACAAGTCTCTCTTATTTATTGTTTTTCATGACATTCAATTTCTTTTAATCCAGGCCTGGTCAATGTGCCCTACATTCTAGATTTATTTGATTACTTCCTCGTGATTAGATTCCGGTTAAACTCCTTTGTCAAGACTATCATGTAAATGTCACCTACTTCTCATTACATCATTTCAGGAGCCACATGATCAAAAGCTGCCGCACCATTGGGGAAGCTAAATTTGATCACCTGGTGAAGGCCGTATCTGCTAGATCTCTCCATTATAAAGTTAACTTCTTTCACTCATAGTTAATAGGTTGTCGGCAGAGTGACACTTTAAGACTTTGTGACTATCCTTGTCCCCAACAACCTTTCATATAGTGGTTTTAGCATCCGTTGATGATCATTCATTACTCAGTTACTTCATGGGGACTGCAAAATGTGATTAGATCAGTCTTTGCTATTTGCTAGGATTCATATGGAAAAAAAGGTATGCCGGATTTGAGAAAATCTGAATTCAGGTCACCTCAAGTCACCCTGGCTACTCAGAAAGCAAAGCGTCCACCTGGCCTCAACTTTCTTAAAAGACCATCCCCTTTAGAATTCCATTGCTGGAAGTGAGTAGTAGGAAGGGTAGTTTTATCTCCAATGGGGATAAATGCCCACCTGAAAGAAAGGGCTGCTAACTTTCTTCTCCTCGGCACCTCTGCTCCAAGTTGCTTCTAGCGTCCGTCTCTGGTTCGATCAATCTCTCTTGAGCTCTGCTGGGGAAAATCACATGCTTTCTTTCCCCTTATCATCAAGGACCACTTCATCCCTGACTGGTGTGGCTCTGCTGGTTGAGTGTTGTTCTGCAAAAGGTCGCTGGTTTGACTCCAGGTCAGGGCACAGGCCTGGGTTGCAGGTCAGGTTTCCAGTTGGGGCATGCGACAGGCAAACAATCGGTGTTTCCC